AGATGAAGTGGCGATCCCCTGTCGGAGAGGCCATGTAGCGAAACTGGAGTGCAAGCTTACTTCCGATAGCCGATATCCCGGAGTCCCGGGTAAGCGGATGGTGTGTGGGGCTCTCAACGGTAATCCGAAGGCTGCAACTCAGGTCAAGGGGGATGAGGAAAATGTGAGGGAACCTGGTGGTCAGCAGAGGGTGAGGAAGGGAATTGAGGAACTGTTGATGAGTTGCCGTTTCTGTGCCGTTGATGAAAGGACGAAAACCAGACTGATGCTGAAGGGGTTCAAAAAGGTCATTTGTTTGGAGATGGCGGTGGAGTTGTTTGGAGATGATGCGTTCTATTGTTTTTGAGAGAAAGGGGAGGTTGGAGATGGGGCGGTAATTACTGAGGGAGGAGGGATCCAGACCGGGTATCTTGAGGATGGGAGTGACAGTAGCAGTTTTGAAGGCAGAGGGAACGGTTCCTTGGGACAGGGAGGAGTTGAAAAGGTTGACAATGTAGGGGCAGAGGACGGGGAGGCAGGACTTCAGAAGAGGGGTGGGTAGAGGGTCAAGCGAGCAGGTTGTGGGTTTGGAGGAGCTGATCAGTTGGAGTATTTCAGGGGGGGTAACCAGAGTGAACTGAGAGAGAATGCCGTGGGGAGGAGGGCTCGGGAGGTCAAGGGAGATGGAGGGAGGAATTGTGGTGGTGGATGTTGGGGGAGATGTTTGTGTGTCGGATGCAGCGGATAGGGAGTGATTAATGGCAGTGATTTTGTCAGAGAAAAACTGGAGGAATGAACTGCATAGAGTGGAAGTGGAGGAAGAGAGGGTGTCAGCACGGGGTTTGAGGAGCTTGTTGACGGTGGAGAAGAGGGTCCTGGGGTTACGGGAGGGGTCGATGAAGATGGTGGAGAGGTAAGCAGATTTTGCGGCATTGAGGGCGTCTCTGTAGGTAGTGAGATGGAGTTTGTAGGAATCATGGTGAACTGTGAGGGATGATTTCATGGTTAGGCATTCAAGCTGGCGGCCGGTTTGCTTCAGTTTACGGAGTGCAGGGGTGAACCAGGGTGAGGAGGTTTTAAAAGTGACATGCAAGTAAATACATAAATGTTACATTTGAGGATGTTGAACTTAAGTTAACATTTGAGAAGGCAAAATACCTGCATAATAAAATTACAATGGAAACGATTGCATTGAGTTATGATTGTGCAATTTTCAGCCTGAATATTACCATACCAACATTGTGAAAAGCTGACAGCTTAGACTTATAAAGCTTCACTTTTGCCCATTAAGGACCCAAAAATAGCATTTTGAGGATTTAAGAGGAACACAGCTTACTAGCAGAGCTTTAAGACCTTTAAAACGTATGTTTAATGTCGATATATGTGTTGTCCAGCAGAGGGTGCTGCAGATTAAGCTACTGCACATTTGAATGCTGCTCTCTCTGAGATAAAATTAATAGTTCAAAACCCTTTATACATAGTCTATTTTAAAAACACAAAAAGTTGAAATATTTCCTGGCTACCACAACACATACGTACGTACACGTATGTACCTTTTAAATTTAAAGATGGATGGAATTGTATATTTGTCTCAACTTCATCACAGAAAATGGTGTGGATTTCCCACAGAGGTCCATTGTCAAACCTTAATACAATCGCCAAAGAGGAGCCTGTAGGTTCAGCTTCCGACCTGTAGAGGAAGCTGCTACCCCACACATCAGTTTAGTGATGTATTGAAACTTAAATTGTGTATATTTTGTAATAAATAGGAATTTACTCCCAATAATTCCTCATGCTTTTCACACAGTGTCTATTGGTGTTCAAATTGTTTTAATGTAACATAAGTGAGGTATTATAAACATTAATGGCTGCACACATAAGTAATTTTCTTCTATGATAATTTCCGATACATTTAATACAAAGAAAGATTACAAACAAGTGCTTCTATTCATTAAGGATGGTTGATTTCCATGATTTTTTCGCAGGGATCAGTTTGTTCACTTAAAGATACTTTAAACTCTACTCTTAAGAAATGAATATAGGCTCTACTATTAGCTTGGGTTCTGCTCTCTACAACTTGGATATTGGCAGTGTAATATTTGCATTTACATGATTGGATAACATTGTCATAAAGATGCAAAAAGTAAAAACCAGCTGACATGAAACACAATTGGCAACAACCATGGAGAGGGATTACAGAACAAACTCGGCTGTTACTAAAGATTTGCACCAACGTCATCGCATATTACTGGCAGCATCATCTGGACTTGGTTTTTGTAGACTCCTAAAGAAAATAAGTAAACACAAGCTTGGTTCATTGTTTATGCCAATAAGTGTTTTGATGTTTTCCTAACATGATGAAGTCCACACTCACCACCATCAAGTGTCCGTTCTTCGCCCTGTACACCATGGACTCCTGGCCACTCTTGAAGTCCACAAACCCCTCTCTGCCAGGCTGGATGTCAAAACGCACACTGCAGGGGATCATTTCACATTGTAATAGGATTTCATATGATTACCATTAGCTTATGCAAAACCCCAGCTACTCTTCCTAGGGTCCCCACCAAACATTTAAACAAGTGACACTTATATACAAAACAACCAAATGTAATTAAAATCCGGAGAGTATAGCTAACAGCTCAACACATTACATATTCTATAAATCTTGAAACATATTCCCAACATTAAAATAAAAAAGGTAAAAAAAAGTGGGTTTTATTAGGAGGACTATTAGGTTTTGTTTCACTTGTTTTAAAAGCTGGCTTTATAATGTGCTTTTGCAATCTGAGCAGAAGGTTGCACAACCCCAAAAACATTGTGACATCACAAAGTGGCCTAAATCTGATCAGTTCATTTTGCATAGTCGGTGACCTTTAAGTAGTGTAATATTGTGTTATCTATAATGTAGTGACATCTGGTGTGTAAGGGCTGAATATGAGGAGCATTACATTAGGCTTATTATCGCAAACATTTATATTTCTATCTTTCAGATTATTATTAATACATAATGTCCATATAGAGTACCTGTCCTGGACCACTTTGATGGAGTTCTGCTTGTTGGCAATAAGACTGAGCTTGGTCAGGGCCTCAAACAGGTAGTCGCTCTGCAGAACCAGATCCCCCTGAAAAACAAATAGTGTCAGACCGTCAACTATAATATGTGGTGATTGAATTATCCCTAAACCTTACATTTACAAATTCATAAATTAATGGATCTTTGTTAACGGCACAATTCATCACATTCATTGATTTCTTTAAGTTCATCATTTTGGGGAAGGTATTTAGCCCGTTATTTACACTAGTTTTGACATTTAAAGACAATAAAAAAACATTATTGTAGCTCTATCTAGAGATAGCTGTACCTTTTGCTTCATGTCATCACATGCAACATGCAGGATCAGGAAGTTGTCACTCAGGTTGCTGACGGACACACCTATAATAGAAATGTGTATGTTACCACCATTTTCAAGTGTGTGGGTAGCTCTTCCTACGAATACTGATGCATATTCTGTTACAATCGATACCTTTCAGAGAGATGTAATCCATCCGCTGCTTGATCTTGGTCTCCTCCACCAGGTAGGCGGCTTCCTTGGTGAGGATGAGCTGCCGGAAACGAGGCCTGAACCCGTTCCTGTCGTACTTCACCACCGGCACGCTGTACTGTGGGAGCAACACACACACACAGACACACACACACACACACACACACACACACACACACACACACACACACACACACACACACACACACACACACGGTCAGAGTGCACTACAAAAAGTTTAAAGATGCTTAATAGATTCCAGTGTTAGGTTACCTTGATTTGCTCGTGCCGAATCATCTGAAGCACTTTAATGCTCATGTCCTCTGCACCTTAATAACATAAATGAATCCATGAGAGGAGAACAACTATTATTGGTTACTGTCACAGAAAGAATGTGCTTATCAATGTAAAGTATCTGATCATGTTAAATCAAGTGTTGTCGTTTTTAATTTGTGGATACAAATATACTGTCGCTACAATCTAGAAAGAAAGATTCCACATTTAAAAAAGTAAATCTAGAAAAGCATGAGTACATCTGATCTAATATTAAGTACTACTGGCTTCTACAGTTTCCCCAGGATATAATAACTAATTGTGTTTTTTCATGCATGTGTGCTTTACTTTTTACTAAAGTAATAGTATTGTACTTATCTAAATACACTCACCACTAACCCAATACAATATCTCAGCAATCTTACCTATCCTGGTATCCATGAATGGTCTGCCCACACTGGAGGGGTAGCTTTCTTTTTTTCCTTTGAACATGGAGCTTGTCTGTGCTTTTAACAGAAGCTTGAAACATGGAAAGCATATGAAAGCAAAGTCAATTCAGACAAGATACTTTATCCCCAAGTGAAGTTGCCTGGGACTCATGTGTTGCCCACAAACTTTATGTAAGTGATTTTGAATGTAGCATGTATATGTTGTCAGTGCATGTAACAACACAAATGTTTTTATCATTGTGTGTGACAGAGCGTGGATGTACCTGTGCTTTCCTCTGTGGAGTGATCCCTCGAACGTACTTCCGTACCATGAGGCGAATGTACAGCTTCTTCAACAGCTGAGCAGCCTAGAAAAACACAGCTTTACAGTGTGCCTGAGGGCTTATACCTAGAAACAGTAGATGTCAAAATGTAATTACTCGATCACCCACCTCCTGCATTATAGGCGGAGAGGTGAGCCAAGAGTCTTTTTCCAAGACTGTTTTGGGAAGGTTGTCCTTCAGCCGTGTGAGGTAGTTCTGGCGCACATACGCCAGGTACTCAATGTTGTCAACGGAAACGGCCTGATTTCTTGTCATGAAACCTTTAATGAACCTAAAACAAAGACAGGCAACCTTTTACATAAGGCTGTTTGGCCCTCATCTCATTCAATTAGATTTCAATGTTTGAACTTACTTTTGAATGACTTTAACAGCCCATGACCTCTTGTCCCGCTCCTTTCTGGCTAGCATTCCTCTCCAGCAGGTCTCAATCTTAGTGGCTAGAGGTAATAAAAAGTGATATCTTGAAATGCTTGTCATGCGTGTCAGTCAGCTACATCAGTAACACATTTTGGGGCATTTGAACACTCACCAGCCTCTCTCTGTCTCAGGTAGTCCCCCTTCACTCTGTAGCCTTTGTACTTGGCCTGAATCCTTGTTGCTGCAACAATGACAGTAACCTTTTCCCAATCAGGAGTATATGCTAAATATTGCGTGATAACATAATGATCAGAACAACTTCTCACCCAGCCTGTGTTTGCAGACCTGAAAGGCGTCTTCTGTTGCAAACAGAGTTTTCGGGTGTCGGATGAAAATCTTTGTCCTTAAGGGAGAGAGGCAAACCGTGAGAAGCTCCTGTATCTCTTCCAGGTGAACATGTACCCATATTCAACAGTCTAGTGCACCAACATATTAACATTTGCCAACTAGGAGTGTATCAATGCATTGATCTGGACCTTTACATTACTGTAAATGATCAGCTATCCCATATCATTGTTGGAAAGTAAAAACACAGATCCATATCATTATCTTTAAAAAGCGCCTTTTTTTATTTGCATGACAAACCTGTGTCATCGTCTCCATCTGCAACTTCTTCCTAAAGAGCCCAGTTATAAAATTGTGAAATCATATTTTATTTTTAAAAGTTACATTTTTTTTTAACTGTTATGTTGAATGGGAACATGCTGAATTATATCAAAATTAAATTGTAAACTTTGTTATATAAGCAAATAGGGTATTGTTGTCCAAAGAGTCTGTATAATTTTGTGATGTATTCCCCTACTGCCTACCTGCCCATCTTGTACTCATCAGGTGTGTAGCCCATGTGTTTGACCAGGCAGTGCACTCCTTCTGCTGCCGTACCTTTCCAGTTTGGCCAGGTGTCCGGACACAGAGCCTTATATCTGAGCACAGAAGAAGATCACAGAATCAAAGTCAGCTGCAAAAAGTTATGCATGCCCAATAACTGTATGTGTATTTTAGATGTAAAGTAGAGGGAAAATGATATTGGCTACCTCTGGAGGAAGATCTCGTATTTGCGTCGGTAGGCAAACCCGGCACGCCTGACCCTCAGGTGCTCCATCAGCCCGAGGTACTTCACCTGATGTCTCACCAACACGTCATCAAAGCGTCCTGCGGGGGACACAGCAGATCAGCTCATTCAGGTCTAACTTGGTAGATGACTGCAGGCTGAACATACATTAAGAACATATTAGCTGGAATAAGGTGGAGGATAGGACAAACCTGGCTGCTTGGCTTCATTGGGTTTAATGCAGCGGACGTACCAGGGCTCTTTGGACATGAGGATCTCAGTCAAGCCCACCAGGCTGCTCTTAAACTGAGTCACCACCTGGGGAGTCACAGAGAAGAATAAACACACAAGTGTTTCTGCTTTGTTTATAACACTAGTGTGGTTCCACATTAGGACTGTTTCTTACAGTTTCAGGTCTCCTCTTGCTGTCCGGCTCAGTTGAAGGAAAACAGAGTTTGATGATAGCATTTTTGGACTGTCGCATGACCTTAAGGAGACAAGGAAAACTATGTAAGTCCACAACATGTCAGACATAGGGACAGTATATTATATATAACAGTAATGTAAGAGTTATGCTCCTTAATATTTTCAGTCATCTTTCAATCTAGATAGATAGGTAGATTCGGAATACAATAATTTAAACACATTTGTGGATCACCTGGCTTCAAAGAAAGTCATTGAAATTACCTCTTTCCCATTTCGATACAAGAGATCATTGTTTTTGTCCAAGAATCCTGAAGTTTGAAAAAGCAGAAACTTAAGTATTATGGTATATTACATTTGAGCAGTCCCAACACGATATTATATTACATTATATTATAGTAACACCTTTTTTTTTTTTATTCATTATACATATACAAAATTGCTACTGGGGGGCAGGCGTATTATCACTTTTTAAGGCTTGTCAGAATGAACTAAGTGAGAATATTATTTAAAAGTGACTTATTTTATTAGGAGATGAGAACAGTTGTTTCCTAATGTTGCACTCCATTTTCTCAATGTGCTGTTGTTACATACCCTTATTTAACGATACTTTAATATTTAATAGAGAGAGAATATTTATCATACAATGATATTTCCTCTCTTACCAACAACACAGTATGTCACCTCCCCAGCGTAGTGCAGGAGGCGGAAGTCTCCTCTGTCCAGGGTTTTCCTCGTCTTCTGGTCGGCAAGTTTATGTCTGCAGGAAGGTACAAGGTTAGTGGAGGTTATTATGATGGACTGTTCTGAGTTTAGAAACATACACTTTAAGGGTGGGGCTTACGTGACAAAATGAGGATGACCAGCGATCTTCTCCTCCATCTTCTCCAGGAAGGTGAGATCTGTGGCCTCTCCAGGACGCAGACATTCCTCGTCCTAAACAAGAAGACAAGCAACAATAATTAAGATGAAAATACACAAGTTAAAAACCTACTTAACCAGAAATGGCTCAGAAATTACATATTTCTGGATAAAAATGGTAGAATTAGCTTATTCAAACAGGTTGTCTTTCTGTCAGACTATAACTCAATCATCTATTTACCAATAGAGAGATGATGCCTCTGTGTTTCTCCTCCACAAGATCACAGATGATCTTGTTGTTGAAAAATGGTACTGATTCCCACTGCATTAACAAACGAGAAGATAATTAGTGGTTGAAAAGCGTTTATTTTATTGTATGAGAGTTTGCTTTAACCTATGGTTTTAACAAATACAAAATATGAATTGGGTTATTACTTCAATCCCCTCCATCTCATACTCCTCCTGCTCTGACTTGAGGGTCAGCTGGATGAAAAGCTGCTGCAGCTTCTCGTTGCAGTAGTTGATGCAAAACTGCTCAAAGCTAAAACAAATTAGAGGAACTGTCAATGTTAGTTTCTTCATTTCACACAATTAACTCATCTGTGCATGATCTCACCTGTTCACGTTGAAAACCTCAAAACCATAGATGTCCAAAAGACCAATTACTGTTTTCCTGGAGGAATCCTACAGAGGATTTACAAATATTATTGTTTCTGTACATTGAAAATTATGATCCAAATCCAACCTCATATGTTGGTGTTAATTAAAACCAATAGATACATTGTGGGGGGGTGGGGGGTCAGCCCAAAGAAAGGTATGCCAGATGTGGCTTTTTTCAAATCAAATGGCTGTCTAAACTCTTGTTACCACATTGTATCCCCATTTCTGTAATCTGTATGAGACATGTCGGGCAAAGCAAGATTAGAAACCGAGTAGATAGTTGTTGTTTTTCTCACCTTGTTAACTAAAGACTCATTGATCTTGTTGACCAGCCAGTTGAAAGTGCGGCCATAGATGGCTTTGGCGAGGGCATCCCTGGCATACACTGCATGGTCCACAGAGAAGGGACTGAACACCTTTTAACATCAGAATAAAGTAGATGATAAACACTGGATTCAAGTTATACATATTTTATGTTTTGCATTTAAGTTAGTCACCTCCTCTGCTTTGGCTTCGATCTTCCTGTGGGTTAGGCCCTGTTGTAGCACCTGAGTAGGAATCCCCAGCAACTGCACAGCAGATTCAAAAACAAAAAGACTGGTAACCCTGAATCTCTTGTGTCATTCATAAAGATGTAGAGAGATGAAGGGTTTAAGCTGAATGCACTTTGCTTGGGGCTCACCTTTGACACCCAGTTCATCTCCTGGTTGTTGTTGTTGAGAGAGGCGTATCCTCGTTCATTCGCTTCAAACTTGATGTTTCCCAGATGGAGCACACTAGCAATTATTCCAAACAGCTGCTGCGTTCACACCCAAAGACAAATTACTTTATTTATTTCAATCAAAATGTAATCATGCCTAGTTTTGGTGTTCATGGGTTAACTGTACTACCATACCTCAATATCATTCTCGCTGAACTCAATGACAGAGAGGGCTTTTCGAACCGTCCTCCAGTCACTTTTATCATTGATAGAGCTGACTTTGGCACAATCACCCTGAGGAGACAAAGTATAAACACTCTGAGATAAGAGTTTTTTTGATGCACCTTGTAAATGAAGTGCTTATTCCCCACGTACCTGCACCAGGTACCTGTAGTGCTGGCAGTTTCTTTCCAGGCCGAGCCAGCGCAGCAGATCTTCCTCTCCTCCCTCCACCAGCTGATAGAAGATGTGGAAGTTTCTCTCTCCGTGGTTCTGGTGGACAACACGTGACTTCTCAAGCAGGTAACTGAGGACGTGACCACCGACTGCACCACCCTGAGGGAGAAATGTCAGTGTTATCCTTGTTGTCCTTACATTTCTGTATTTTGTGATCTGTATCTAATGAAGATTGGTCAGTCCACCTGGTGGTCGAACTGGATGTCCATGTATTTCCCAAAGCGGCTTGAGTTGTCATTCTTCAGGGTTTTGGCATTTCCGAAAGCCTGTATGATGATGATTAAATTAAGATTACAGGATTTAAAAACATGTTATCGTGAAACCTTTGGGTCTGAAAAGTGAAGCCATTAAAAAAGGGCCTTAAACCTGCATTCTTTTTCAAATATCCAGCTGGGGTCGTCTCCAGTGGTCGCCAAACCAATGGGTCATGTCACTTTGGCTACGTCTAATTATACATAGTTTATCTCTAAAAATGATTTAGACAGCAGACGCATTTGCACACATTTCCTTGTCACTGACCTCGAGAACTGGGTTGGAGAGCAGCAGCCTGTCCCGGACGTTGTTCAGGAGTTTGGTGCTCGGACAGCTGACTGCGTAGAATTGCAGGATTTTCTTTGAGGCCTCAGTTTTGCCGGCCCCGCTCTCCCCCGAGATCAGGATGAAGTGGTTGTTGAACTCAGACAGCATGGTGCGGAAGACGTTGTCTGCCAGTGCATAACTTTAAAAACAAAAACAGTGATGGTTCAAAGTAAGCCTTCTTTAAAATTCAGACGGAGTATAGAGTTTTTTTCAATCAGAAGACCAGTGTCACTCCTGAGCAACATTTCTTTCTCCCTGTACAACAAATAATTACAGAATATCTTACATATGAGGTGGCAGCTCAAAGAAGTTTACGCCCATGTAAATGTCCATTTGCTTCTTGCTGTAGATATCGAAGTCTTTATACGGGTTGACCGACACCAAGAGAGTTCCAATGTAGGTCTGTCGAGAAAGACAAGGAGAGGAAGTTGTGTTCTGCAATTCTTGCACATTTGATATTACAGGACGATAAGTAATTGTGCTCTTCTTATCAAAAGCAATAACTTTGCTTAATCACTTGTCATGACCTTACGGACATCATTGACCTATAGATTGCTCACTCCGCAGAAAATAGGAACAAGAGCTGCTGCCTCAGCAACACAAGGTGCCGGATTCAGCGGAAAGCAACGCAACATTAAGACATTAGGACCTTGTTGGGCGGAAGGTTGAGGGTGTGACGTTGAATGAGAGAAAGAGCCGGGTCACACACCACACCACACAGGAAGACTCACATAAATGAGATTCTCATGAAAGCGTTTCTTCAGGTTCTCCAGGAAGGCAGTCTCACTCGTGTAGGGGTCCAAGAGAACAAAATCCTGGATGCCCACACGGTCCCGGGCTGTCAGCGAGGCCTCCATGTTCCTCAGGATCTGGTTACAGCGCTCATCCAGGCTCTGTGCCAGGGCAGGGGCACAGGGACATGATTAGGAAACGAGGTATCCCTACAGAACTAAGTTATGGCCAGCATTTTAGTTTAAAATATTCAATAAATGTAAAATACACGTTGAAATTAGCACGCTAACCAGATAGCCCTTTCCCATCCTGTTTATTAAGACCTCTTGTATCTTGAAAGGAGCTGAGCTGAAAAGTGAGCTGCCCCAATAAACCATCTATTAAAAAGCTCATTCATTTAGTCAATACCAGTCCTATGTTAGGTTTATACTGTATTGTCAATACAGTACTAGGCCTATATTGTCAATACCAGACCTCCTATTTTTGTCAGAGATAAAGAACTGTCATTTACATTTTTGTAAATGTAGATCACATGGACCCAGCATTAGAGGTGAAATGCTGCCCCCTACTTCTTTGGAGCTTGACAGGTAATACATATTGCACTTTCAGGAAAATTAGGGCTGCAGCTGCCCTTAAAACATATTTACTGTGTACTATATTTGACATACTATGTATTTGGATATAAACTAAATATTTTTCTGGCATACTTAACAGTATGGTAGAGGGGTATTGGAAAGCACAATATGTCGTTTTTGGCCGTGTTCTCATTCATGTTGTCAATACCAGGCCTACATTATATCCCATCCTTTTCCTTTGTGTCCTGTTTTCCTCAAAAGTAATCTTTTTTGTTGAAGTTGTCACCACCCAAGAACACACACATGTTAACAATCATAGATTATCTATACATTTCCCAGTGGGTGACTCATTTCCTGCCTGTTTGTCCTGCAATACATATGTGTCTTCCAGTCAGAGCCATTTGTGGCCTTGGCAACATCCTCTTCGTTCATGACAAATCTAAATTCAGCCACCACTATCTAATCTGCTTTTGTGCTTTCTAGAGAGCCATCAGTCTTGTTCATTACAAGGACAGAGCAAACATGAAATACTCCACCTACACAAGGAGCTTCATATATTTCACAGTTCAATACTGAACAATATCTGACACAAATAAAAGCTTAAGTGAACTTTAGAGTATGATTAATTGCATTCATTATAGTAGGCCATGCATAAAGACAGGATATGATATGCCACTTAAAGATACACAACGGAGAAGTGTCAGGTGAAATAATCAGCAAAAGCAATGCACTTTAATTATGGTGCTATGAAAGAGCAACCCAGTGCTATGCTCCAGTGGTTTGGCTCTCATCACTGCCAAGTTGACCCGTCACCAAGTCGGAGTAACTGACACTCACAGATCATTCTCCAGCTAAACAAGCAGATGCTCTACTAACCCAGCAAGAAATGACACCACCATGTCACAATAAATGTATTTCCTAAGAATAAAACGTGATCATTCAAATGTTTTGGAGGAAAAAGTGCAAAAAGTAACCTACCCTGAGGATTCCTGAGGTTGTTTGTTTCTTCCTCTGCACCTTTTCTGAACTGAACCTCTGATTTTATTGTAGCCAAAGGACGTTAGTATGACAGGAAACGCTGATAGATTAAAGTCACTCCTTCCCTCAATAGGAAACCATCAATTATCTAGTGAATGTGCAACAAAGGAAGCAAAGTGCGTGCATGCGATTGTGCTTGTGTGCATGTTTTTGTGAGCATTTACTGTATAAAACTTTTCAAGAAGCCAGGATTTAAAATCGAAATCACGCAGTTTGTGGAGGATTAGGAAATTACGCAACAATCAAATTAAATAAATAAAAAATACTATCCAATACAAATGTTTATCAAAGTACTACAATTACCATTCATAATTAAAAGCCATGGGAAAAAACGAAGGAATTTCATCATGTGTCTGCAAATTACACCTGAAAAATATCCCATTGATGCAAAAGTAAACAAAGAGAGGTAAAGAAACAGGCGTCTGTCCCACACACTGCCCTGTTGTTGGCACTTTCGGCGTCCGTGTGAGAAGGCTTTGAGTGCGGGGAAGAGATTTTCTGCCAGTCAAAGGAAACATGACCTCTGCTAAACACAGCTATGGTAAAACAACACTGTTAGAGGAAGGATAGTTTTGCTAAAGATAGGAAAAGATAACATGTGGCTTTTCTTGGCAACATTGGCATCGGAACTAAACTAGACAGTGCTAAGGCATTTATGCTTTTATGAAAAAGATACGAACACATGTGAACATGAAAAAAGGTTACAACCAAAATTTCCAACATTAAAGGTGTCATGCAAAATGCACTTTTTTATGTATTTTATACATATATGTGTCCCCGGTGTGCCAGGGAATTCCCAAAGTGTCAGAAAATAAAACCATCTCTCTTTTCCTATTTTCCTATCTCTAAAAACGGTGATACAACAGAGCTGATCCAGATTTAATGCCGATATGACGTAATATCGGAAATGTGGGCTGGATTTACACCCACGGCCCTATCAGAAACGTTGCTATCAGAAACAATTCGCAACACATTTTGGACGTAATATGGTCTTTGTTTACATTAGCAAGCATTGCTAACACTCAGAGCTAACCTGTACTGGAGACAGTATGTGTAAAAAAGCAGGAAATAAAGAAAGGAACTCAAATAAGCATTTGAGCTCCATACTGTTTCAGAAATAATCCTTGAAGGGGTTTGGAACATGAAATATTGTTTAAACGGCAGAATTTAGCTGCATCTGAGCAGTGTGCCTGTGTGCTCAAAAGGGGGCGGGGCCAGCAGAGAATCAGCCATTCTCTAACAGGGCTGAAACAGAGGGATATGAGGGATGTCTAAAATGCATGATCTGTTTGGTATTTTGAGCAAAACACATCATAGAGATGTTTTTTATATATTTTTATATATCTGATACCCATAATATATGCCTAATAATAGCATAATAGGAGATCTTTAATTGAGAGACGTCCTTTTAAAGGTCACATGTCATGGCCATTTCCACTGATCATAATTCCATTGTTGAAGTATAGTAAAATAAAAAAATACTGTGCAATTTTCCAAACTCACATTGGTTTCACATACAGCATCTCTGTAAAGTATGTGTATTCACTCTCTGTCCTAAACGGCTCATTGGAGCTCTTCCCCCCCTCCCTGTGAGCCCAGTGTGCTCTGATTGGTCAGCTCGGCCACTCTGTTCTGATTAGTCAACCACCAGAGAGGCTCCGCCCATGTCTAACAGTGCTTTTTCCGGCTCGCTCTGAGCGGAACATCAGGCGTCGGCACAGCCGTATATTTTATATGCTAACTAACCGAACCGTACCTACAACTGTTGTTATAGAAGAGTTCGTTATTTTTACCTGTAATAAACTACTACTGTTTGATAAAAAATCAAATCATGGTTTGCTTTATATGAATGATATGTTATAGGAGCAAATGATTCAGGGAAGAAAGGCTACTAAGTATTTCCATCAAACTTTATTTTTATAAATGTACAAAATGAACATGTGTAAATCATCCATTCCTCCCCTTATAGGTGTTTTCGGCATCTTGCCTATCGCAGCTTTGCAAGCTGCTGCCGGGGCTTTTTAGGACGAGGCATCAGAGTGGTCATCCCGTGTGTGTGTGTTGTCCACCAGATACGCCAGGAGTTTCCTGATCTGGCAGGACGAAATCAAATGCAAATCACAAAATATTAGAGAAACTTAGTTGTTTTAGATTCGTTAGTAGTAGTTGTGGTAGGAGTGTGTATCTATCTAATCTATCTATCTAATCAGCACAGTTAGCTTGCCAGCTAATATGCTAACCTACGTTTGGAAGTTATTCAGTGTAATATGCCAACCTACTATGAACAACAGCTAGTCTAGGCTAGCAAGAACATGTTTACAATTGCAATCTTATACAGGTAGTCTGCTACGTTCGGTCATTCATTGTAGCTGGCATGAAAACAATGTTTTCCCTAGCATGTCTAGCTCTAGGTAGCCTTCTTGTTTAGCTATGTAGCATACACGCTATGAACGGTAGCTCACACGCCAGGAACGCCTGTCACTGCCCGATCTGCAGCTCTGCCCGATCTGCAGTGCGCATGTGCGAGGTGGTCCGCCATATTGGACAACTCTGGACGGCAACGCAAGAAGGACACTTGACACAGTGGCTTTTGGCAAAGCTGAAAAATAAAGAGAGATGAGTTATTGTTATTACAACGTGACTTCAATATTATTTAACAACTCTTTTCATTGGGTTCTTTTATTTGGGGTTAAGTACATTGTCAGAATAAGTGAGAAATGGATTTAAGTCTAACTTGTATCATTTTTGACATGTAAAATCACAGGCAGGTTTTTAATAAAAAATGAATTCTCACTTTTGGTGGGACCTTACTACCCTACCTCTGGATGTTTAGAAATCCTTAGGGTTTCATGTTGTATATTATTCATGGGACATAGTTCTACTACGTTTTGTTCGCGTAAACTGGAAAAATCTCTCCAAATCGTTTTTTTTTGAGGTGGAGACTCCACTAAAACCCACCTTTACCCGCAAACAACGGCAAGAGACCTTGGCACCAGCTAAACCACTACTGTAGAGAAAAATTGGCAATCTCGGTTATCTTAGCTTTCCCCTTAAAAGTGTATGTGTGGTTGTAGTGTGTTTTTTCACCCCCGAAGCATGTACGTCAAAACCGGTCTCGCTTGGATAGAGAGCGAGACTTTAGACTTTTGCCTTGTCAGCCAATAACGATACCTAATAGTCTTTAGTAAAGTTTCCCTTCTTTCTGTATAACCTAATTTCGAAGTCTTGTAAAAATAGCAAAATTACGGTAACTTCTTTGTGCAAACTGGTCTGTTGCTGTTTCCATTCGGTAAACGGAAAATCGATGGATCGCGTGCACAAAACTACAGACAAAAACAGATATTTCAGCGCTCAAGAATAGTACCTCACTATTACATCCCATGGCTAGCTAAGAACACCAGAGGAGTGCTACCGATTAGCTACCCAACCCTGCACGTTGATGCTATTCATTTATTCCCACAAATCACTCACCAAGACACGCATTACGGAAATCGTAAGAAAAACGAGCACCG